AAGGCTAAGATTTATAGTAGGAAACATCAGTTTTTGAAAGGTGAAAAACTGTTGGAACCCGTGATCCACAATGGTAATGTTTGCCTTCATTTTTTTTGTGATTTTTGCATAACTTTTATAATATTTAATTGCTTACTTTTATTTTTATATTTATTGCATGGTATTTATTTTTGCATGAATTTGCATGACTAATATTATATTTGCATGATAATTTATTTGCCTAATATTTTGTTTACATGATTAATATATTTGTGTGATTTATTAATATATCTTCATAACTATTAATATGTTTGCATGATTATTAATTTATTTACATGGTTATCAATTTATTTATTTGCGTGATTGCACGATTATTATTATATATTTAATTGAATGTTTATTTGCATGATTTATATTATTATTTGTATTATTATATATTTAATTGCATGATAATATATTTATTTGCATGTTTTATATTGTTAATTGTATGATAATATATTTAATTGCACGTTTTTGTTAATTGCATGGTTATGTATTTAATTGCATATTTTATATTGTTAATTGCATGATAATATATTTATTTGCATGTTTTATATTGTTAATTGCATGATAATATATTTATTTGTATGTTTTGTATTATTAATTGCATTTTTTTGTTAATTGCATGATAATATATTTATTTGCATGATTTATATTGTTAATTGCATGATTTATATATTTAATTGCATGATCATATATTTAATTGCATGTTTTACATTGTTAATTGCATGATTAGATATTTATTTGCATGTTTTAGATTGTTAATTGTATGATTAGATATTTAATGGCATGTTTTGCACTGTTAATTGCATGATTATATATTTAATAGCATGTTTATTTGCATGATTTTTAATTTATTTGTGTGATTTTATGATTATTAATATATTTATTTGCATGATTATTATTGCATGATTTTATACTTATTACACAATATGATATTATATTAATTTTGAATGATATCTAATTGCATATTTTTATATTTATTGTGTGCATCATGGCATGATTATATTACTAACATATTTTTATGATTATATTTGATTTGCACATTTACATGATTGTTATTATTGCATGATAATTAATAGATTTGCATGGCATTCTTACATGAATATTTTAGCATGATATAGGCATGATATTATTACATGATATTTGGTATGATATATAATATATTTGCATGATAATTTTTACATGGTATGATTTAATATTTATTGCATGATTGCATGAGTGCTTGATATTTTGATAGAATTTTTGTATCACCATGTTTTGTAAATAAATAAAAAGATTGGAATTGTTTGATTTGCATGATAAAACCATCTTTGATTAAGATTTTATTTAGAAAACACATAATTAATTTAGTACTAATTTTGGGCGTAAACGGGTGCTAATACCTTCTTTGCACGTAATCGACTCTCAAACCTTAGTTCTGATGATATAGACCAAAATTTATTCTTTTTAAGGACTTTTAGCTTAGGCTTAGGATAACCTTAAAAATGATAGATTCACATAGATGGCCAATCACACATAGCTAAAAAAGATTGGCGGTGACTCTATAGTTTTTGTGTCTAATGGGTAGGTTCTTCCAACCTAGACATTAATAGCTGGGTTTATCCTAAAAGGGTTTAGGGCTTTGATTCCCCTAATACTCCTATTTACAATCTTCGAACTAAGTTCTTTAGTAAAAATGAGACTATGACCTCAAAATCAACATTGATTCCCATAATATAAATAAGTCAATTCGTAACTCCTAATCAAATCTTGAATCTTAACTTTGAGACAGCACTAAAGGGTGAAACTCACAGTGCTTATATGTTGTCGATCAGCACCAACAGTACAACACTAGGCTTGAGAACATGGAGACTACACAAAATGAGATTATTGATTACACCCACAATGTAAGGATTGTTCAAGACAACATGAAGCAACACTTTCAACACTTTCAACATTTTCCACCTTTTCCTCTTCCATCATGACCTACTCTTGCTACATAACTATCTTGGGTTTCCTACATATCAACTTTTTTCAAATATTAATTTTTCATTTGGACAATTTGTTTTGTAACTCTTAGTTTTGCACCTTGCGTACTTTATAATTGATGGCATGACTTTCTCCATTTTGTAGCTCAATTTATGGTTAATTGTGTGAAATTGTGCTAAGTTGCTGCTTTATCAATCCTACATGTCATGAATTTTGCTATATGCTACTTGTGTACCTAGAATTGATCCTTTTTGCTATGACAAAAAAGAAGAGAATTTGTTGAAAATTTGCTATTGATGGGATTGTTTAGCCATAAATATAAATGTAAGCTCTCGATACTGTAATGGACTTGCTAAAATGGACAAAATTTGCTTGTTAAGTGATTGTTGCATTAAAAATTTAATGAATTTGCTAAGTATGCTTGTGTTGAAAATATGGTAAATTTTGTGAAAAATAACCTTAGTGAAATTTCAATTGTGCTTATATTTAGGGGGAGCTTATATTGAAAAATTGGTTTGAAATAGGAGAAAATTTTTTGAATGGAGCTTTTTAAAGCAAATTTATCTTAAGTTTTATTATATCAAAAAGGGAGAGATTGTTAACCTTGAATTGTTACTTATTTACAAAACACTAAAGTTAAAATTTGCTATAAATTACTTTGGACTCAAAAAAATTTTTTACAGTAACTTTTTAAATGAAAAATGACTTGAGACCAAAACAAAATTCCTTCCTCAATAAAAACATGTTTTATTCAAAATTAGGAAAGAAGGATTGACCCCTCAATGAACAAGATCTACTTACATAGAAATTGAAAATTTTATTCAAAACCTAAAAGAAATCGGTCCATTCAAAAATGGATCAATTGGTTTTTTATACAGAAAAGTCTTGAGCTTGAAATTGCAAAAATATATCGATCCATTATAAAATAGATCAATTGATTTTTTATACAGAATAAGTCTCAAAATTGAAAATGGCAAAATGAATCGATTCTCTCCAAAAATAGATTAATCGATTTTTCTTACAAAAACTTCACTAATTCAAATTCAGTAAAAATGGATCAATCCTCTCCTAAAATGGATTTATCGATTTTTATTTTACAAAAATATGTTTTCGCTCAAAAGGCCAAAACCAATCAATTCCCTCCAAAAATGGATTGACCAATTCAGCTCTAACAATCTCAAATGGTCATATTTTCTTATTTTTTGTTGAGCATTTAAGGCATTAAATAAAAGCAATGACTCATTTCTCCTTTCTAAATATATAAAGAGGTCTCCCACTACAACATAAGCCATCAAGAGTCAAAAGAATTTATTGCTATCTATCTTCATCTTCTTCAAGCATTAAAGAGCAAATTGAAATGCGAAAGAGCGTAACTTTTCATCTTATATTCAAATCTTCTTACTGCTATTCGTATCTTTTTATTTATACTTCAAATTAGTCAACACCCACCCTTTGAGAGGTTTTTGAGTTTGCAAAAAATATTTGTGTCTAACCTTGAGATTATAAGCTTGAAGGAGAATATAACCCTTGAAAGATTATTTGAGAAATTTAGAAAACCCATTGAGAGGTTTATTGGTTAATTATACCAATAACTTTGGAAGGGCTGGTTGTAACATTCAACATACATAATAGATTGAGCTCCTTGACAAGTGAGGCTAAAGGAAAGGACATAGGTGTCTTTAGAAGGACTAGACCTCTATAATTTTCAGTGTTTGATTTTCCATCTTTACTCCTTGACTTTTCAAGTTATTTTGGTGTGCAATATTGTCTTTATTTACTTAGAAATTTATGATTATTATTTTAATTTGGTATTCAAATTGTCAAAATTTTTAATTAACCAATTCACCCCCTCTTGGTTTATTAATACTTTAAGTTAACAAATAAAAAACATAAAAATAATTTTTGTAATAAATATTTACTATGTAAAATAAATTACCAACAAAATAAAGCTTAAAAAATATTTTGTTAATTTATTAGGTGTTTGAATGTGATTAGTATATATAAGCATAGGATATTAATGTATACATATATATTATTTATTTTATGTAATACAAATATAAATAAAAATATATAATAGTTATTGGAGTCAGGCCGAATCTAGACTTTAAACTTCAAATTCAAGGTCCTAACCTAAAATTCAAATCCAAACTCATTTAATGGGTCTAAATTTCATATCTCTTCCAAATTTTGAATAAGCTTTCAAACTCAAATGGATAAGTTAACCCTTGAAACAAATTTATGTGCAACTCTTATTAAATCAACATAAAATCAAGGGCAGCTCAGCCCAGAATAATTTTGAAAACCCTTTTACTTATTTAATGTTTGATTTTATATTAAATAAATTTACATTGATCCTTTCGAATTCAAATATATAATTTATCTATTTTATTAATTTTCGAAGTCTAAATTCCAACTTTGTGGTGAATTAATGTTTCCTAGTCGTTAAAGTTTTGCTAAATTCGTCATCTGAGATTCCAAAATGTTCAAACTCATGTTTGAAAAAAAGAAAGAAAATGAAAGGAAAAAAGGAAAAAAATTATTTTTCATTATATTTGGTAGGAAGAATGAAAAACAAAATTGTAAAAAAAAAAACTAATTTTTTGGTGCTTATAAAATAATTAAATTTAATTGAATAAAATTTTTCTTTCACATTTAAAAAGATGTAATTTGAAAGAAAATGAAATGTACAAATTTACTCATTTTTCTTTATTTTCCTTTTTCCCTACTACCAAAAATAAAAAAGAAATGTAATTTCTCGTGAGTGTCATCGTGGTCATCATCATCACCGCATATGGTATTGATTTCTATGCATTCGATAGTAGTACTGAACCGAAGTGCCAATAAAGATGAAGCCCTAGAAAACTGTCAGGAAGGAGGAAAAATAGGTCTCGCCTCTCACTCCTTTTTGAATGAACTTGTTTTACTTTATTCTCATAAATCTCGTGTATATATATATATATATATATATATTGATACAAAATATTTACTTTATTTATTCTCATAATTCTCCAGTTTATATTTTTTTTTTTATACAAAATAGGCTAAGGTCTAGAGAGAATTTAGAAAGTAGAATTTACACCCTTTGACAAGTGACCCATTTGGGCTAAAGCCTTAACTCTTAGGTTCAAAAACCTCAAAACTATATACATACACTACGAATGAAATTTAGAGAAACAAGTGGTGTCTAACCTTTAGCATCGTACAAAAATATGTACTCCCAAGAAATCAATGTATTTAATTGATGCCTCAGATTGGAATTCTTCTTCTACCATCTTCACTATTTAAGAATGCCGGTGCTTTGCTCGAGCAGCCGGGGGCAATTTCTCAGATGGACCACATGGAAGGTTCTGTCCAGTCTCCCGTTCAATTCTGCTTTTGAGCTCTCTTAGTATCCGAATTTGCCCCAGCTTTTCAGGAGACAATTTCTCCCAATAGATACCTGCAAAGGGAAGAATGGTTAGGTCCTAGGCTAAATTTCTTCTGCTATGACAGATGACCTGTGGATCAAGAAAGGTTTTCTTATTTTCCAGTTGGCAAAGCAATAGAAGAACTGAATGCTGCCACTAGAACCCAAGCATCTTATGGAAACATCTCCAACAGAGAAAGGAAAAATTATTAAATGGTGGAATGATGTTCAGATACTTTCTGCCAGGATCTTTCTTTGGTAACATTAACACCCAGTAATGGCATTTTTCACTTTTAAAAGGTGTATTTATAAAGCTCCTTCCCACTTTTGTACTTTAAGTAACCACTAATTTTCAGGGTAAAGTGTAAGCTAGAGGCTGTCAAATAGAACACCCAGTGAAAAGATTATGGCAACGGTAAAAGACCTCAAATCAAAAATAAAACAAGAGAATTTCACCAACCTTGAGGCTTCGGGATTGCTGTATCGGTAAAAATAACTTGAGTAGAAGTACATAAGATGTCAACAGGAACATCATGGACCAACAGTTTCTCAACTGGAATATCATCTACCAACTGACAGTCATGCACTGTAACAAGTTAAATGCTACATGTAAACACAGGTCCAATAAACAAGGTGAGAAAATGGTTAGACAACAAGTAACACATATATTAATGTTGCAGTATCAAGAACATAAAATAGAGAAGAGAGATCAGAAGAATTACAGCTGATAATCACTCTAAATTCATTTTTCTGCTTTATATACAAAATACTTCAAGTACAGAGCAGTTAGACAAATCTCCACGAATAAGGAGCTTCACTGCTTTATAACTAACTTACCACCCAAATGCTACATTTGACAGATTATAAAGATATTTTCTCTAGTTCAGACAGTCTAGAAAATCTCGAAATCTAAAAGTTGATAAAAATTTATGCTGAAGTAATAGAAGCAAAAGTCCAAAAAGGCTAAACAGTTAATCATTTGGGGCCCAAAAATAACAGGTCATGCTTTTGGACCTTCATTCATTTTTCTGCTTTATATACAAAATACTTCAAGTGCGGAGCAGTTAGACAAATCTCCATGAATAAGGAGCTTCACTGCTTTATAACTAACTTACCACCCAGAAGCTACATTTGACAGATTATAAAAATATTTTCTCTAGTTCAGACTGTCTAGAAAATCTCGTAATCTAAAAGTTGATAATAATTTATGGTGAAGTAATAGAAGCAAAAGACCAAAAAGGCTAAACAGTTAATCATTTGGGGGCCAAAAATAACAGGTCATGCTTTTGGACCTGGTATTACAATTCATGATATTGTTTTGTCTTAGATGACACTTCTTTTTTTATCAAAAATACTAGAGATAAAGTAGCAATAGTATAATTCAATTACTACAGATGACAGGAAACATTCAAGGAGGTTCGGAAGTCCAATCACCTTATACCATCTATTGGACAAGCATCAAGAAATAAAGAAAAACCTAATCAAGAAATAAAGAAAAACCTAACAGATAAAACATATGCAATCGTTCAACAACCTACGCATGAGATTCGTATCTGCAGTTCACACGTACCATCCAGTGAGGGTAACTCACTTTTCAATAAATTTGAGTGCTAGAGAGTTGCAGATATGTCTAAATGTTCCAATTAATTGAAATTCAAATATTATCATGTGCTTTGAGAATGTTAAAACTCATTAAAAAATCAAGATATTGAGCTGCAGTCTAAAACATTTCCAACAGACCACTGGCTTGCTGTTACAGGTTCAACTTTGAGCACTCTTTTGTATACCCATAGCAGTTTAAATGGAAAGAGATGTCTCTTAAAATCTCCTAACTTCAGCGAAAGATAGGTGAATGTTGTACCTGAGGTGATCACCTGGGTTGAATCATCAATGGCACCCATATACCGCAGCATGCCATATTCAAGTTCAGCAAATCCCTGCAGCCAAGTCCCAAATTTCTCTTAAAATAAGAAAAATTCATCACTTCTTATAATCTACCATCTCAAACCCAATATACTCTACACCAAAACCACAAAAATCAATTCTAGCTCAAAATGAAAACACTTGAATTTGCAATTTAAAGCTCTCAACATATATATACACTAAAACATTAGACAGAAATTCCATCTCACACACAAAAAAAACCTGTTTCCTTGATCTACAGAGGAGTTTCTACGCATAGTTTCAATTAGCTATAGCAGTTTGGAAAGGGTAATACAACTACATAAGTCCTCTCGGTAGGGTAATGGAGATAAGTTTTCATTCAGACAATGATACAGTGCCAAAGCAATGTTGAATCATAAGATAACAAGTGAATGCCAGTTAATGTGTTCAACTTGTAGAAAAACAAATTGCCTTATTAGCAACCAAGAAAATAAGCAACAGAAACTGCCAGTTTCTGCAAGTTATTAGCACTTAAAACTGATCAGAATGATTCATTTATCCGCTGATTATAGACTATCAGATGAGATAATAAAAGAAATGGCTTATAACTAGAAATTAGTATTTTGTATTTTCCAATGTGGTAGAACACAAAATTATGTTTTTAGATCCTATTTTCTTCCATCATGAACTTACACTTACATGACAACCAATAAAAACTGGAAACAAGAAAAAAAAAAAAAAAGGCAGTAATGTAGCAAGATAGAATGGATCTTTACCTCTCCCTTGCCAAGTCGAGCCCCAGTCTTCGGATCTACAGCAACTGAACCAATGACAATTACATCTACCTTGATCTTTTCATCCAATCCAATTGGCCTTCCATACTTTGCAGCCCCTACAGAACTGCATGCCTCGTTGATGGTACTAGGAGTTAGCATAGAGGATTCAAGTACTGAAAAGAAACCGGTTCTCAAACGAGGTTGAGGAGTCAACAACTTCTTGCCATCTGTACATATGTAGAGGTCATATACTTGGCTAAGAATATAGTTGCTCCAGTACGAGAACAAATATGTTATAAACGTCATTAAAAGAATGTGGATTGATTTCAAATGATCAAAATCCAACATATGCACACAAATAAAACTCTCCTGTATGAATCAATGAACAACAGCCAGTCTATTAGCAATGTTAAGTAATAACACTGCCCATTAGTGCAACTGCTGATAGGACCTCACTCATGAACTGAAGACCAAAAATATAATTCCATTTAACGTATTAATATTTCCTCCGCATATATGAAACGCATCTTTAAAGCTACAAAATTAGCAGCACAATAAATACGAACAAAATGGGATTCTTAGAATTCATAATTAAATGTAAATGGAATGCATTTGATCACTATAGGCATACCAAATTGACTGTTTTGAATAAACTAACCAGATAGAGTGATAAACCTGACTTGCTTTTGAGGCGAATCCGGGTTTACCTTCACACAATTTGCCATCCCAAATGCCTCCAGCTCACTCAACTGCCCACAAAAAGAAAAAAAAAAAAGTTTATCTCTTTAACCAAATAAAACCGAGAAAACTCAACAGTCTAAAAGGTTACTACTTTTTTGGCAGCAGCTGAGGCACCAATAAAGTTCGGGATCCGATGATGAACGGGCCTGGGGTTCTGGGCAATATTCTGCGCCTCCATTAAATCCCAAACCCTTTTACGGATGACCCATTTCCAAGCTTTGGGATCATCTTCTGCTTCCGCAATCGTTTCCATCATTCTTTTGGAAGTCTGGGCCATTGATTCTCGAGCCTTTGCGTCCAGTATCAGCCTCTCAGCTTCAAATGCCGACTCGTCGAACTCCTTAGCTTTAGAATTATAATTTTTCCTGCTTTGGAGTCTGAAACTGAATGAAGCGAAATGATGGTTAAATTTTTTATTGGCGAAAAAGTAGTAGTTGTGATTGTAGGTAGATGGAGCTGACAATCGGATCATATTTGAGTCCATGGAACGGAATTTCAGGTAACAATGAACCAAATCAGCAGTGTTGGTGTGCATGCTGTAATTTTTCGTTGGTGAATTGATGAGAGAAGATGATAAAGATTGGACGGCTCAGATCCGAGTTTGACCTTGATTAATGTGATCCAATAGTAGTATGCGAGTTCTATTATATTTTTTTAATTCCAGCCAAATAAATTGACGAAAAAAAAATTGGACGCCATTTACTACAGCAAAGAGGACTAAATTTACTGAAATTTAATCTCAAAACTGACTCATTGGAGCAAAAATAGAAGCGATGCTGTTGATCATTTGCTTAAGGACACCTCTAGTCTCAAGCTTCAAGGCTCAAGCTCTACTTTCGTCGTGTATATGCATCAAGATGGAACCCCTCAGGTTTGATTCATTACGGTAAATATATGAACTTTGGTTTGTGTCGGTGTCGAGCAAAATCTAAAATGGCATCAAATCAAGGATCGGAGGTCAATCAATAACAAAAGTCGAAGGTATCTTTCATGTTTGTACTCCGACGCTCATATCAGTGCTTATAAAAAAAAAGAATATAGAAAAAATATAAAGAAAACAAGGAAATAAAAGAATAGCACTTAGATGAAAAACAACTATTTACACTTGTGTCAGAGGGAGCTCCGAGCCAAATTGGCTCGAATTTTATCAAAAGGCATACGGTTGACGAGATCAAACTGACCTGATCTGGTAGACGAGGACCCAATCACATAGTGACACATTGACATATTCATATGCGTTCAAATGAGCGAGTAACCTAGGTGAGCTGATGTGGACTCTGACTTAGGTCAATACACCATGTCAACATGATGTGGAATGTCAATAAGGCCTTTAGTGTATTGTTGAGTCATAATAAAGAGCGAAAAGTCCACTATGTCCTTTGGACTACAAAATGCTCCAATGGTTTTGACCTTTATGCAATCTAAGGTGTCGAAGTACTTCAGTAGGTTAAATGGTCCAATATGTTCTACCTCGAGATGTTTTTTCCATCATTATTTTTGAGCTAGTTTGTTGACCACTGGTTTTAACAAGTCTAAGCTTTTTATTTGGTATAATCTGATCTTAATTCATAATGATTTTTTGTGACGTCGAGAGATTGTGATGCTCACAATCCCACGTTGAAAGAATTTATAGATATGATACGATATATATATATATATAGATATCTAAACCTAAACCTATGATGTACTTTTTGTGAGATAAAATTGTGAGATATTTGGGTCAAATCAAATAATACCTCACAGATTAGGTGTGGATCTTCACAAGTGACATAAAAGTGATCATCAATCAACGAAAACTAAGTACTACATCTAAGAGTCACTAAGTGTTAGATGGTAAGACCGTGAGAGTCACTAAATACTACACGATGAAGAGCCACCTCTAAAATCTTAACGTCTGGTGTGATCTTGATCTATGGTTAGGCTTAGCTTAACCGAGACATCAAGCTTAAAAAGTGGAAAGATTGTGACGCCTCCAATCTAATATAAAAAAAAATGTTGATATGGTATGATATATATGTAGAGATCTAAACCTAAAGCTGTAAGGAATCTCTTATGAAATAAAATCATAAGACCTTTGGGTCAAAGCAGACAATACCTCGTAGGATAGGTACAGATCTTCACAAGAAATGGTTCCTTCTTTGCCAGTGTAACACTTAGGTTGTTTTTTTATTGGTTCCTTATTTACTGGTGTAACATTTAGGTTGTTTTTATTAGTTCTTTCATTGCAAGGAAAGATTATAGTTGGGCTGCTTTTTGGCTCAATCTGATGTCATAAGAAAACCAAAGACAAATAAAGGAAAATGCCTTTGTTAGGGGCAAAAGAGTAACTTATAGCATAAAGGAACTCCTAGTCAACATAAATTCCAAAATTATTAATCCTTCTATAGCAAAGCTAGATGTTCTTTTTTCTCAGCCTTTAACAACTGTTGCTTCAAGTTTAGCCCCTTCTTTATCTATCCTAATCGATCAAGTTTCCTTTCCAGCTATTTTTTCACAAAACCTTCCTTTTTCTAACCTTTTTCATTTGGGCTAAAACTTGGAATCTAAGTTTACTATTCATAATACCTCATCTTCTTCTAATGTCATTGAGATTCTAAATCATGGTCAATCCTATAGGTTTTGCCTAGTCTCCAATGGTTGAGCACTATGAAGAGTACTCTAGGACTAAACAAAACCAAGCACTTGATCCGGTAAAGGATTCCAAGCAAATGGAAAAAAGGGAAAGGGAGAGGTTGTAATGCCTAAGGTCTCTACCAATGTAGATTTATCTATTCCCTTCTATACTTTCTATGACATTGGGTTTAATATAAATTATGTCATCAAAAGCCAAAAAATTCATCCAACACCCAAGGAATGTCCTAATCTCTATTCGATTCATCACACCGTGGCTTTAAGAAATCAATTTTGTCTTCTTAAGTAATATGAGGTTGACTTTCCTAGGCTCGAAGATAGGGTTAGCAATCATATAGAAAGTGATACGCTATGGTACATTGAAGGTCTATCCTAGCTAGCCTTAGGTTCCTCTTGTATTTTTTTATCATTGATCTTCTTTTACCCTATAATCTTACAATTATATAGCTCACCCCTAATTCATTTAGGTACACAGTAAGGATTGCTATTCATTGTAAAGAGCTCGGGTTAGTCCCTTAAATACCTCATTTTTTAAGGATATTTTAGAATAAACAAGCAACCTCACGAGAAAAGCTAGTACTATGTGACAATTCATCCTTTTTAAAAGATTTTTACCAATTATCCGAGCTCAATGAAGACTTGGAAAATCTTCTTTCTTTATGTCCAAAAAGTTAATAATGTATGAGAGATCAATAATTGCCCTAGCTTATTTAAGGATGCCAAGGTGGGTTATTTGACCAATGATGAGCATGAGGCTAAGTATAAAATAATCAATTTCTTTAAAGGTGGAAAGTCAATGATGGATGTGTATGAATTGACCTATCCTAGTGTTGTTAAAGAGGTCAGGTATAGGGGTAATGCTCTTCTTTTCTTCTTGTCAAAGTTATTTTATAGGTAATTGTTTTCTAATTCTCAACTCAGATTTTTCATTTTTACAATTAAAGATGATAACTTGGCTACCAAGAACACCACCAACTTTGACCTGACCAAATTCATACAACTTATTAGTTAGAAAAGGAAAAGAAAAAGCAATTCTTCTTAACCAAGTAACCTTTCTTGAAGCATTAGGATAATAGATCTTCATCGACACTATCTAATCAAAGGCAAGACCTCTACTGCTTTTCAAAAGATGAAGGAAAAGTAGTGGCTAATAAGCCTTTTCAAAAAAGATTGAAGATTAAGTTTTTTTCCTTATGTACTAGGGTAGGTCTAATTCCCTCATCTACTCAGTACTCAATATCTCTAGAGTATAATGTAGAGGAGAATGCTTTTAACAACACTAAGGTGGTGAAGAAAATTGTACGCAACATAATCCCTAAAAAGGATAGAGGCTGAGTTTAGTCTTTTTGTTTTTTTTTTCATCTTATTGTTAATTTTTTCATAATTTAAGCTCAGATTTTTTCCATTTTACAAATATAGAGCTCATTCTTACGTCAATTTCTCAAAATATGGGCCAAGCTTTAATACATTCCTTCAAGGCTCTTACTCATATCTATGAATAGGAGTAAGACATAAAAAAGTATACAATTTTCATCAACTCTTTTACTGAAAGCAACAAATTTCCATCAACTCTTTTACTGAAGCAATAACAAGCTTAAGAACTTTATTGCTAATGTAAAGAAAGACAAGGATTGAGATCAATAAAAAAATGAAAAGTCTAAGCAAACATGAAGAGATGTCTATTCAAAAGGCTGCTATAGAATCCCTCTAATAGAGGTTTGAAGAAAAACTTGTTAAAGCCCTCAAGGAGATAAAACATCTAAAAGGGAAGGTTTAGATGGCCAAACTGTCCAAGCAACATGTTGAAAACTTTCTAAAGTCTGAAGACTTTTATAATATGTAGATCAAGTTTGCTCAAGAATAGGTCTTCACGACATGGAACACAATTGTGGCTGAGGTCCAATATATTTATGTCAATCTAGACCTTTCCATCATTGACATTTATCATTTGAAGGCTAATCAAGTCGTTGTAGGAGGCCAATAATAACTTGAGGAAAAATACCAGACTGTCAGGCCACATAATAAAGATAATATGGAAATTGATCAAGCTACTATTGTTGTTGAAGTGAAGGGGGAAGAGCAAGTTGATGTGGTTGCTGTAAACCCTTTTAGGGATCCAAGGTGCCACAACCTAAATCTAGAACTGAATAGGGAAATTAGTCTGAACTAGGCCTTAGGAATTTTTTGTTTGTTTCTTTGTTGTTTTCGTCATATCTTATTGATGTAATGCCTTGTACTCTTAAAAGTTTCATGATTTATTTATTTATTTATTTATTATTATTATAATTATTGTTATTTATTATTTATTTATATTTATTTTTTCCTACTCGACCATCATGATTAACAAAACAAGAAACAACTAAGTCTTCACTTAACAATGCTTTAAAAAAGTATTTGATTCATCTATTTTATTAAGAAGACTTTATCAACTATCTTGGTGGTCATTGATAGTATATTTTTAAATTATCAACATTTCATGTCTTCAGAATGACATTCCCATTCATATCTTGTAACCTGTAAATCCTAAGTCAAGCTCTTTCCTTAAAAACATAAGGTCCTTCTTGATTCGGTGCTAACTTCCCACATCAATCATCTATTCCCAAAGTTTTTATTTTTTTAAGTACTAGGTCACCCAATTTAATATGTTTTTTAGACTCTTCAGTTGTAATAATTGGTCACCTTCTGTTGATATGTTGCAATTCTTGTTATGGCCACATCTCTTTAATCTTCAGTTAAGTCCAAACTTGCTCTTAAAGCATCTTCATTTCCTCACTTGCTATTAAACTCAACATGAAAGTTCGGGAGTTTGTTCGTAACTAGTACCACTACTTCTATCCCAAATGGCAAATTAAAAATAGTTTCCCCTATAGGGGTTTTAGTGGTCGTTTTTAATGCCTATAGTGCTCCAAGTAATTCCTTGATCCATTTTCTTTTAGGCTCATCCAACTTTCTCTGCAAAGCTTCTATATGTTTTAATTGGTCATTTTAGCCTATCCATTAAATTACAAATGAGTTACCAAGGTGAATCTTAAATCAATGCTAAGGTTGGAACACTATTTATTGAATGCTAGATTGTTGAACTATTTATTGTTATCTA